CAACCTAAGAGCGATGGCCTCCAACCTAAGAGCGATGGCCTCCAACCTAATAGCAATGGCCTTCAACCTAAGAGCGATGGCCTCCAACCTAATCGCAATGGCCTCCAACCTAATTGCATTGGCCTGGAACCTAAGAGCGATGGCCTCCAACCTGCTAGCGATGGCCTCCACCCTAGTACCCTAGTAACAATGGCTTCCAACCTAATTAGCAATGGCCTCCAACCTAATCGCGATGTCCTCCAACCTAAGAGCGATTGCCTCCAACCTAATAGCGTTGGCCTCCAACCTAAGAGCGTTGGCCTCCAACCTAATAGCAATGGCCTCCAACCTAAGAGCGTTGGCCTCCAACCTAAGAGCGATGGCCTCCAACCTGAGAGCGATGGCCTCCAACCTAGTAGCGATGGCCTCCAACCTAATAGCAATGGCCTCCAACCTAATAGCAATGGCCTCCGACCTAATAGCAACGGCCTCCAACCTGCTAGTGATGGCCTCCAACCTAATAGCGTTGGCCTGCAACCTAAGAGCGTTGGCCTCCAACCTAAGAGTGATGGCCTCCAACCTAAGAGCAATGGCCTCCAACCTAAGAGTGATGGCCTCCAAAGCGCGCTCCACACTGTCTCCTTGGCCCAACGTTAGTATTTTGGCGCATCAGTTGTGTTTGTACTTGCTAGCTCTCGCATTTTGCTCTCATTCTTTTTGTCTTTGTTGTTTGCCCTTGGCTCGCTGATCCCTCACATGATGATTCAAGGGGTGACTTTACTTAGACTGTCAGACTCACTTGCTGGCATTGCCTGGGACTGCCTGAATCTGTTCTTGGCAGGTGCACACTGTGACGAAAGATCAATTATTGAAACGACCTGCAAATCTTCCCATTTTTGCCAGCTTTCTGAAGCAGAAAGTTCGCTGCTTGGCTGCTTGGTAGCTGGTTCTACCCTGGGAAAACGCACTGCAAGCAGTAAGCAAGTGTGGCGAACCCATATTGGGGTCAGCTGATGGTGGGTTTTCAGTGCTCAATCAGCAAAGATCCACTGTTGAGACCAGGTAAAAACGGTCTCCAAACTTCCATGAACATCGCACCTATGCATAGTCCTAGATAAAGTTGTTCTTCATGTCTTCCTTGGTCAGTGTCTTTGATTGCCCCTCCTGTGATATTTTCCTTCATGGCAGATATGGCAGGTTGCACTTTGCTTGCAAGAGCAAACTTTCCCACCGAGCGAGGCAGGTGTATGTCGACGCATGTGTGTGAGGTGCTTTCAGCCAGAGTCAGCTAAACTAGCAAGCAGGTATGCCGGATACTGGATCCTATGACAGTTTCTTTGAAAGGCCTGGAACTGTTTTTTTGAACATTACAGAAACCTCAGGTCATATGGACGAAAGCAGGCTGTGCATGCCACTGCAAATGCATGTGCAGAAGCATGATTGCATGGATCAGATTTGTCTTCGATAGCTGTGAGGTGGGGTATCAATCAGCTGGACGTTCCGTTTGCCGATGGCGTCTTGCCTGGATTCATGGATATCAATGATATCAATATAATATATCATGATTATACCATCATGATATTATCATCACCCACAGGTAAACTGGGAACCCCGCACCTATGAGGTATGAACCAAATACACCTGAACAGTCCAACGATTCCCCAACTTGTGCGCCTGCTCATGGCCGTGTCTCCATCTGAGGTACTGCGCCACCAAAAAAGCTGGTCTCGCAGCTCATCTCATCAGTGGAACAGCTGCTGAAAGGGATTGCTTTGACTGATGGTCCGGAGGAGAAGAACAGTTCAGAATCACATATATACTGTAGTCTTGACCTGTTCCATGCAGACTCCCTTGCTCTTCTTTTAATCAATCTCTCATGTTTCATCAGAGATCAGATAAGGTTTTTCAATCTGATGAAGTGCAACATTTCCTTGCAGACGCTGCTTGAAAGGACACCGGCGAGAGATGCAAACCTGAGTGTGATGTAGTCTCGGCATCTCAGATGCAAGAAGGGGGTTCGTGTCGTATACACAATTCATATAGAAATGTGTCCAATCACTGCTTTTTGGCCTTTCGATGAACAACCATGCCAGTATGTTTGCAACAAAGTGCTGAACACCTGCAAAAAAAAAATGTTGGAGCATGTGATTTCCCCATGTCATCTCTCCACTGGCTTGCATTTCAAATCCGCGTTTCATGGCAACATATTGTTTTTGTTCAAAATTCATCGCTGGATACTGCACATTTTTTCGGGGCTCTCAAGACGCACTTTGCAATTTCGCCATAGTGACATGTGAATTTATATATAAATGAAGTGCTCAATTTCATTTGCTTGGTCCAACAGTGTTCATGCCACAACAAATCTTTACTGCTGTGTTCCCACCTCCAACAATATCGTTGCAAGCACTCGAACAACTGAGTGCTTACATCACCGCTGGAGTCAAGCAAGGTGAAGGTTGCTTGCGGCAAAGAAGCGAGTAGGCCCCCACCCCCTCACCCTCCTTTCCCGAAGACATTCGAGGGGCAAGTGTGTTTGTGTGTGTGTGTGTGTTGGCTGGTGTAAATGAGAACAACAAGAGAACTGCAACACAACTTCCAAAATAGAACACAAACGAGAATGATGCAGCAGGAACCAACAAGATACGTGGCTAAATGTCACCAACAGCTGTGATTTGCATCAAAACTGCAAACTGTTACAGTAAACTGAGAAGGTGCCGACTTTGATGAGGAATGCAACAACATGGGAAGGAATCTTTTTGATTTGCTGAAAAGCGCATGACTACTAGCGCGGTTGTTTTCCTGCTAACATAATATGTCCAGGTAGACGTCATTTGGTGCCTTTGGGCTTTCGATGTTGTGCTGAGCTCGAACAGCTTCAGGTAGTGGTTCACTGCAAGTCTGGCCTGGGCCGGTCGATGGCGCTGCTGGCGGCTTTGGCGATAGCCTTTTGCCCAGGCCAGAGAAAGGAAACCCAAATCGGCGGAAATGGTTCTCCGATGCAGGAATTTGCACGTGTTTTCCAACATCTCCAGCATGGTAAGGGCAGGCAAAAACATCCGTCAGCAATCGAACCTTTCGGCACTGTGAAAGAGGTCTGACCGCTGGAGCCTTCTTTGGTTGGGCACGGTTGGTACGACCTGCTTGCCTACAGACTCCAATGCAAGAACGATTTCTTAGATCGCTGGATGAGTTCCTTGGGCTTTTGCAGCACATCTCACGGACCAACAGAGAAGACCACCAGAGATGAACTTGGAAAAACTGAGGACCCCGGACTGCAACTGCTTCTTTGTCACTCGGTCGTTTTTTTGGTTCACATTCAGTGATCTCACTCGAATTCAATCATGTTCTCATGCAAATCATCGAAGCTCCTGAAGTTCGTTTCTCTCCGAGGCATGTTTCAAGAGCAAGAAAGTCACGTCCCCCACGGTGATCTCTGGCGGATCTCATGGCCACTAGGCTGCAGAGGGACCCCCCCAAAAATGCTGATCAGTGGGAACACAGCTTTATGAGATTTTGTGCGTGCTCCTGATTCTGGAGGTACAACAGATACAACCATCTCAGTCTGACTTTAACTGTCAAGTGAAGTGGAATGCAAAGCAACAGACTTTGCAACACTGTGTATAGATCCTGCATCTTCCATAGGTTTAGCTCGCAGACGCCTTGCACAGAATCATATTTGCTCAATTTGGGGGCATCTACCCATGCATCAGAGGTCAGAGTGGCCCCAGATTGCTCTGAGAGAGCACAGCTGCTCAAATGGAAGTGGCTTTGCTCTGAGAATACAGAAGCCGCAAAAAGCTGAAACAGGTAACCATTTACCATGATCCTGACACAAGAAAAAGTATTCAAGCCAAAGAGCAGTCTTTTTGCCAGTATTGAGTGAACGATCTGCGGGCACAACACCAGGAGATTTGGCATCGCTCGAAGGTTGGGTGCTTCAGTGGTGGTGCTTCTGAAGCGAAATCAACACGCACACAGTTATATAATCATCTGAATGCAGATAATCAGACGACGAGCCTCCACACACTGGCCAAGAACTGACCGGATAGATGCAAGCAAGGTGCATCGACTCCACTGTGAAAATGGATGCTGAGCACGTAAAACGGCAGTTCTCCTGGTTCCAATTGGAAAGCAGTTGTGTTGGACCTGCTGCAGCTGTGTATAGCCTCCTGATCACGGAGGAAATGAGATGTTGACCGAGAGACGAACAAAAAAGAAGAGAGGTTGGGTTTGAATCCAACAAGTCTTGCTTCGTCCACGTTACGGTTGCTACTTTCAACGAAGTACGGATGTCCATACTGTGATCACAATACCACACCCACGCTTGGCCCACCCCGGCAAAAGCCTTGTATAATTATATATTGATTGGCCTAAATTCTACCAGCGGTTTTGATGCAGTGCCTACAGTCCAGAGCAACTAGCAAAAAACTGGATCTTGCTTGCAACACTTGAGATAGCCGTAGACGACAGCCATGCTTGCTGCGCAGGCGACCCAAAGGATGAACAAATCTCCAAGCTCAACAAAAAGAAAGAAGAGTCGAGCAATTTCGTGCCCCATTTGCCAGGCATCAGCTGCTCACCCTTTGCGGCCATGGCAAGGAACATCTCCATCTCCAGGCTTCACCTGAGTTGTGCCACCGAGAAATCGCCACTGACTACTGACTTTCTACCCCGGGAAAGCTTTGTTCACTTGTTGCTGCTAGGTTACTAGGTCTTAGGATGTCTTAGGTCTGGAAGACGGCCCATTGTGACAATATGCTAGCTGCTAGTCTGAAGGACTTGGTGCATCCCCGGCCTCAGCCAGCCAGCCTGGCCGGCCCAAAGTGGCGGGTGCAGCGCTCGTGGCTGTTGCGCATTTCCTGCGACGGCCCAGGAGGCAGGCACCAAGACACGAGAAATCAAGACCCCGAGATGTGAAGAAGTGCCTTAGGAGTGCGGAGAGATGTAGTAGCATGTAGTAGCCAGCACCGAGACAGAAAGAGGATTAGCAGTGCTTTGCCAGGTGTATGAGACGCGTGCTTCAACCATTTGCTATTGAGCCCATCAACCCCTTCGCAGCAGAGATGCAAGCTACGCTGCCGTGTGTTGGAGTGCCAAGCAAGAGATTGTAAGAGGTTGCTGCTTCGATTGTCGCATTTGTTGACTTGGTGACGGTAATGCGCAAGAAGAAGCGCAAGCAGTTGCAGTCAATGCCAGGCTAACATCAAAGCGCTAGGTGGTAATGGCCTTGGCTTGCTTGATGTTCCTTGGCATTCAAATCTCATTTCTGCTCCAAAGGATTCCTGATACCAGCCCGTGTCGGCAGGCCGAAGGCGCCGGGAAAGAGCTCTCTACTTGCTGCAGCCTTGACAACTCGGGTCGGCGGTATCAAATCGTTGAGGAAAACACTTTTGAATCGTTGATGAATGGAGGACGTGGACGTCGTTTTCCGAAAGATCCGAGGCCGGACGTCGTTTTCTTCGACCAAGGCCTGGAGTCTTCTGGCATGGATCCCAGCGAGGAGCTTCCCATTGCTCCAGACCGTCCGCTCCGTGAGTCGCTATCGAAGTGGTTCGTTTCGTGAAGCTAGGTGAAGCTCAGTATTGCATGGTATTGCTAAGTATATTAAGATGTGTGATTCAGGTCTTGGATGCAAAAGCTTTTGCATGCTTTTGCTGTGTTTCCCATGATCCTTTTTCTCCATAGATGTTTTTCTCGAAGTCTTTTGTTGAAGAACACTGTGACTGTGACCTTCTGCGAGGAGAACAGACAAAAGTGGCGAGAGTTCTGCTACGGTTTGGAGAACTTGGGAGAGTCAGCCAACCATTTCCAGAGTCACCGGACATCTAGAGCATAGCTAGCAGCTGGTGGAAACACTTGCGGAGGTTGTGGTGCAAGCCACTCAGCCTTTGCTTCGAAGGTATTGCTCCGCGGTGTTGATGGAGGAGGAAGCCCTGAAGTTCACATCCAGCGCTGGCAGGCAGATGACAAGCATAGTGAGGATCGAGCTGTGGTGTTGCGGTCATGGTCAAGCACATCAACAGGACTCTACCACAGATTCTGTCTGATGCTGGGGTTGAAAGCTCAGTCAACCGAGTCAACCCTTTGTATACAACTAATATGGTTGTGGGTAGGTTTTGACCCATCCCGGCCCATCCCCGTACCATTCCATGTGAACTCTTTGTTCTACTGTGTTCCTGTGAATGCAGATGATGGAGACGTGAGGTGATGTCCGCTGTGCATCCGTCATGTTTATGCTTATGCAAGCAGAGCATTGGAACAGCCTCCCTGCGCTGTTCGCTGTTCGCTTCTCGCATGGGCTTTGCTGCGTAGCTGACATAGACATAGTGTATGTCGCCAAACATAGTCAGTGCAGTCTCGTGCCTCCACGCCGCATAGTCGTGTAGCAGCTTCTTGTTACTAGTAGCGATGCCAGGAGCCCCTAGTAGCGTCCTTGCTCCTAGTAGTAAGGCCAGGAGCCCCTAGTAGCTTCTTGTTACTGTGTGATTTCCCTATGAAATAGATTAGTGTACTACACGAGCCGTTCTTGTCGGTTTGTCGAATTCCATGCCAGATGCGGGTGGACCAAGGCTTCGTTCCGCACCTGTCCTAGCACTGTACCCCGGAGACCTCATATGTAGTGGACGCAGAAGCCGTTGAAATTGGGGAAGTCTGGGATTCACGTCTAAGGCTGAACAGCTTTGGCGAGAAAGCAACTGAAGGAATAGCAGGGGTCTCAGAAGTTACCCTGGGCATTTAAAAACAATATGCCATACTATGGCCATGTCGTCCATGACTCGTAGATCGTTTCTGTGTTTTAGGGCTTCGTGTGGCATGCGTGCTCTTTGTAAACTTGATTTCTCCACATGACTCAGCCCAACTTTAGGTGCTGCTTGAGGAACGCTGCGAGGCCATGCAAACTGGGCAAGTACAGCAAGCAGCTGCTTTTGGTAGACATACTGACCTATTTGTAGCTGCTACACGATCTGTTGAGGGGTAGACTCTTGGCTGTGAGGAGACAGGTTTCTTTATCCTCGTTGAAATTTGCGCTACGAAATGGGGGAACCCGGGATCCTTACAAAACAGTTTTTGTGTAAGAAAACATGGTTTTGACTAAAAAATGGGGGGGTCATTCTATAGAGAAACAATGTTGCTAGCATCACTTTGCTGTATTTGGTTGTATGCGACACAGTCACCTGCACAGCACATGCTGTTGCTTCCACTCCTTGAAGCCTTAACAGCGCCGCACATTGCACTGTGCAGGACTTCTACGCGTCTGGGGTAAGGATTGCTAAGTGGCGGACGCAAGTTGAGGCTTGAACGTTTATTTGATGAAATCTGTGCGGTGCGTTTTTTTTTTTCCCATTTGTAGAATTTTGTAGAACCATATTTTAGGTCTTCCCATCCAATGCTTGGAATGTTGAAGTGGCCATGTCATCATGTGATAAAGACAAGCTTGATGTTAGGTTGGATGCCATCGCTACTAGTAACAAGAGCTACTAGTAAATGAGGTCTTGATGTGGAGTGTCGTGTCACTCAGCAAAGAGTCTGCGATTGCCAGTGCAACCTCGAAATGCCCACCGACGTGAGTGTTTGGGAGAACACCGATTGTCTTGCGAGAGCCGCGCGGGTTTGTCAGGCAGGACATGGTCGGACAGGGCGGACAGGTTCTCAGGGATCCCATGCCCTACCGGGAGGTAGGCAAAACATGAAACCCATGTTTCACCTTGCCTCACCAGTTCAGAATCTGACTGAGTCTCGCCTTGCACTTTAGCTCAAAACACAAAAGCCTGGATGGAGTAGCGCTTTGGGACACAGTTTGCAAAAGGCAATCCCTAGCTACATGAGTTCTATTCAAAACAGCACTTGCTCCCGAGACACTGCAGTTCTTCCTCCTGGACTAAACTCCGCACCCCTTGATTCTTGCTCCTCTCCGTCCTGGTAACAACCTAGCTTTCATCCATCCCCTTCTCGACTTAGCTGGATGCCCAGTCACCCTGGCCTCCATGACTCCACTGTTCGGTGTTCGGTGGGTCGTTCCTTTTCTCGACCCCTTGTGCGGGGTTGCCTTCCGTGCTTGTGCCAGCATTGCATTTTATCCCAGCAACAATGGTCAGAGTGAACACGGACTGTCTACTATTCATGCATATTTGGAAGACATATGAAGACATTCAGTTGATGTTCGGTTGTTTTACTTGTGCAAGTCAGCGACAAACATCGCGGTGTCCTGGAGGAGAATGGCTTAGCCTTTATTGCAGAGATCCAGACATCCCAGAACACAGGGAGCGATCCGACATCCCCGAGTTTCTTTGTATTCCTCAGCTCGTCGCTTCACGGACGAGTTTGATTTATGCACAGGAGCCACTCAATGGAGAGGACTTCTTACGTGTGCGAGAAGGCGACGGTGGACGTTTTGCACGTCTTCGCATCATTCAAATCAACACTGACATGCTGGCGGAGAAGCCATGGCACAAACTCTCTAGGACCCTAGGATAGCCTAGCCCAAACATCGCTGATTCTCATCAAGGAGAGACATGGAAATTATGGAGAGACATGGACACAAGATCAATTTTTCAATGCATATACCACGACCTAAAGTTGGAAGCTGCTTTACTGCTTTGTGAAGCCAACCACACACTAGACTGACCATCCAACAGCAGACAATCGAACGAACTCCTGCCGGAATGGCTGCCTTGCGTGTTGCTGGCGTTGCCTTCCGAAATTCTCGGCAGCTGCAAAGATGGAGCTGCTGCAGACCTGTTTGCAGCTCAGTATCCAAACCTTTACTCTGCAACGACGCAAGATGATCTCGGAGGGCACGCATGGCCATTTCATTGATCCTTTCTGTTTCAAGCGGCTCAGGTGATTCGGTGGCCCTCCCACATCCGGTGTTTTGCCCAGACGCCTGGGCCCATGGCACCACCACGGAATGCGGAAGAAATGCAGAAATTCATCAACGAATATGATCCTTGGCTTGAAAGACCCACACAGCATGGCGCCATGGATCAAAAGGTGGCCGCAGATTTGCTATAAGGATCAAAAGGTGGCTGCAGAAGAGGCTGCTGAATCCTCGTTTTGGAGGAGGTTCAACTCCAACGTCGGCGCTTGGCTTGGTGCTGTGGTTGCTGGCGGGATTCTTTATGTGCCACTCAGACAGAGTTTGGGAAAGGGCGCAATCAGACTGCTGAAAAAAGCAGCTGGCAGATTTGCAGGACAAAACAACACAGGCCGATCTGATTCTTTTTTTGTCTTTGTCTGGCTGCCTGGCTTAAGCTGCAATCATCCAGTGGTGACATTGCACTCGAGGCTTCATTGTGTAGACGATGTGTCTAGCACCCTCAGCGATGTATGGGGCTCCTTTCTCCGCTTCTTGGCTTCAAGCCTGAGTGACAAGCCTCTCTTCAATGGGAAAATATGTGGCATTGTCAAAACCCTTGTGAGGTGCAAGTTGGGTAGGTGCCAGAAGGAATTCTTTCCTTTCACCACTCAGGACAGCTCTCGGAAGAGTCACAGCGGAAAATACTACTGCAAGCTGCACGGTGGCGTGTATTGCCCAAAGACATGGACAAGGACTAGTGACTAGTCAATCCAGGTGTTGTCAACAACGGAAAATCCGTCTTACGTAATCCTGGAAGGAGCCGAGATCAATAGTCTGCAAGACCCAAAGATCTTGACTTGATATTTTTGTTCAATCGGTTGAGCAAGGACGCTATTAGGTGGAGGCCATCGCAAGTAGGTTGGAGGCCATCGCTAGGAACGTAACAAGAAGCTACTAAGATTCCTTTTACTCCATGAGTGATCGTACTTTTCCAGGATGATCCGTACTTGGTGACTGAGCCACTGGAGGGACTCCGGTTCTTCGCACCAGTGGGTTTGGCCCCGGGCCTTGACCCACTGGGTGAAGGCATCACTGCTTTCTTCGATCTTGGCTTTGCCTTTGTGGAGGTTCCCCGGCTTTACCTGAGGCTTTGCAGCTTTGCCTTCGAAAATTGCATCTCAGTTTTGGTGCACTTCGGAGATCTACTGTAACACTCAATCAAGAGTTGACTCAGAAGAACTGCTCAAGGTAGGGCCTGTTGCGCCGGGGAGCAGTGAGAGCGCAGCCCTTGCACACACCCTCAGCACAAGGGACTCTAGCCAGCAGATAGCGCGTTTTGGGCTACTGGGGGCATCCATTGGAGGCAGCAAAGAGGACGGAGCTGTTGGGCCGGGTGGAGAAAGGATAGAACCGTTTGGGAGCTTCAACCTAATAGCAATGGCCTTCAACCTACTGGCGATGACCTCCAACCCAGTCAGCCAGCCAGGAGCTCCTTGAACAAATCTCCTCTTTGGGGTCTTACGTGCGATACTTCGCAGTTGATGCCGAGCATGTGCGGGACGTCGATGCCCTGCCCAAACTCATGCGTGAGCTGACCTTGGCAGCGCTGAAGCTCCCTGGCGGTCCTCGAATTTTCCTCAGGTCCGTGAGCTGCACTCGATCAGATTTTGGGCCAAGCCAACAGTCTAGGCATGACTGATGAAGACATGAAGTCGAGGCAAATTGTAATGAAAGGATGGAACATATGGCAAGTGCTGCATGGCACAGGCTTCCTGCCTGCTGGCCAGACGCTTCAGTGGATCATGAAGCTAGAGCCTTGGTGTACAAAAGCACTCCCGCATACAAGTTGTCGAGCTTCAGGAAAACTGTCTCAAAAACAATTGCGCAACTTTTTATTTTTGCTGCACTCCAGGCCCGCTGCTCTGCAGTTGGGGCACTTGCGGAAGCGCTACGCAGCAGTGAATCTGCAGGGCTCATTCTTTGCACGGGACCTTAGTGCACAGTCTTTATTAGTCTTTATGTAGGAACCCTTTTGATGACCAAGTACCCTTTATAGTTTACTCTTACATAATATAGTTATATAAAGTAGTTATATATATAAATATAATGCGTATTTATAACATTCCAGTTTGAACCAGACGCTCTATGGCAATCCGTGGTTATCAGTGAAATTCAGAGTTGTAGGGTCAGGTCTTGACGGAGCATTTGATTGTTTTCCTGGACTGCTCACATATTCGTGTGTGCGATCACATGTCATGGACCGCCTGCTACTGTGGCCCAATCTTGCAGTTTGCGTGTAGTCCTTACGATGTCACATTGATCTTTGGGGAGATGATGCTGTCCTTACTGCCCCGTAGCGGAGTGCCTCCATCGCTTCGCTCCCTTCCAACCAGGCTGCTTGTTGAAACGAGAGTAACGATCCGCGATCCATCTAGATTCCACATTCAACATTGACTCCAGAAAGGTCACTTACTGTGTGCAGCTGTTTCATTTTTGTGTGTGTGTGACCAAACACATTCCAACACTAAGATTGTACTCGTACCTGTTTGGAAGTGCTGCTGGTTTTTGGGCTTGGAGCTTCAATCCCTTTGCTGCCTTGAGGCAGCCAACTCGCCACTACTTCTTGGCTGGAGCTGTGGCTGCAGCGGCGGTTCCTTGGGCATGCGCCAGGCCGAATCGCATTGACTCTGACTGTTTGGGGTAAAATCCCAATGTCAAGCTGTTTTGGATGCTGAGCAGGATATACCAGCAACCAAGCCAGCGGCCTCAGCGTCGCTTGCTTTCAAGATGCGAAGGCCAAAGCTGCTGGCCGAGAACTCTGAACTCTTTCTTTTTTTTAAACCCTTGACATCTATTGGCCACGTCTCACAGGTGGAGCGACGCCCAGTGGTCTGCGAATTGACTTCTGTGGTCGACCCGCCAAAGGCCCCACGAGTTGATCAATCAAAATATGGCAACATTCTCCCAGTCACCAGTAGTGCTTGCAATCTTAAAGCCATTTGATCGATGATGATATCATTCATACTGCTGCAGACCCTGCTGAGTCTCGTTGGGATTCCATTTTGACTTTTGTTCACGCAGGATTCACCCCGATTTTCTACTCGGACCCCGTCACGAACACTGCCTCAGTGAATGCAGGAGATTACAACTTGAACCTCGGTGTTGAGGTTTGTTCAGAGAATGGTGGTGGGAAGATGGTCTGGCATGATCCCACTCTTTGCTTAATGCATCTTAATTCTGTTTGCAGACAACTCGCAATCAATCCATCGCTGAGGTATGTGGGAGGCGGCTCCATCAACCTAGCTTTTGCTAAGGAGCTTGGTCAAAATCCAAAGTCCAATGGCTACAAGGAGATGCACGAGGCCTTTCAGTTGGCCGGTCAACCAGCAGGATCACAACCTCTTTCAATATTTCTAGAAGTTATCAGAAGTTACCAGAAACACACGACTGCATGACAATTTGTTTCGATCCTTGAAAGATTGATCACATTGGCCGAGCTGCGAAGTTTTGCGCATGTAGGAAGATTTGCGCAAAGAAAAGCCATCCTTCAGGCACTTCTCGCGGCTGCTGCAGATGCTCCTGGCCGTTTTGTCAGTGGTTCCAACGTGCCCGAAGCTGAACCTCGGGCCGAAAGGGCCGAAAGGGCCGAAAGGACGTGAAAGGGAGCCCCAATACGGTTTGGCGCCAAACACATTTGCCGTTACTTCTTTGTACTTTACTGTACGAGAGGGTGTAATATACATATATATATATATACATATATGCATACATGTACAGAGGTAAGAAACGTGGTTCTTGAAACATTTCCGGCAAAGGACAAGATTCGAGCGCAGCTGGGCTTGTTGGGCTGCTTTGCAGCTTGGCATTATATAATAGTATGGAACGGCTTGAAGATCAGGGCTTGGCCTTACAAATGACTTTAGAAAAGATTTGAAATGCGAGTGTCGTTGGTTTGGGCTGAGGCTAGATTGCCTGAGGGAAGAGCAAAAGGAGATTTGGATCCCGTTGGCGCGGCTTTCCTTGACATATTTGGGACGGAGCGGCCATTGAGTCCCAAACTTAAATGCTCATGGAGTCCTAAATGCACCTCATTGTGCAGTTCATTTTTCTTTCTCTCGATCAACGGTTCATTCATGTGTGCCCTGAGTGCGGTGGCAACAGGTCAGAAGAACGTGGCCATGTTGTATGTGGTTGGCCCAAAAGGCCGGGATTTGAGCGAAAGTTTCGCACATGAAGCTCGTACTTTTGGGCGTGGGCTTAAGGCACTGGTGCTCCTGGAGGGCATGGCCCTACCATAGATTCCGCTGCACAGTTCCTAGAGAAAGTGGCAGAGATGGCGCAGAACGCCCTTGCACTTGTCGCTGCTTACAATGATCAAATTGAGGACCTCAGAGATGTTGCAAACAGCACACAAAGATTGATTGCATTAATGAATGTTGACCACCACCGTTCAAAAGCTTCCATGGCTTTGAAGGATTGCAAATTGGAGATGCCAAGAATTGAAACTCTTCAGTTTTGCTGCTTTGATTTGCTTGGTTGCATTTGGCAATGTCTTTGGCAGAGAGGTAGATTATATATATATAACAAGATTTTGGCTCTCAGGCTTGGTGTCTGGTGGAGTCTATATGCATCCTGAAAGCACCAAGAAGGATGTGGCGAAGGCCATCCTTCAGGGGTTGCAGTGCGGAGTTCATGGCAAGGCACTTCCCGTTGCATCTCAGCAGCAGCTTTGATCTAAGTTCCCTGAGTTGAATGACCGTCACTCATCCTTACCTAGTAGCGTCTTGCTATTAGTAACAAGTGCATCGCTACTAATAACAAGTGCATTACTACAAATAGCAAATAGCTATATACTAGTAGCTTCTTGCTACTAGTAGCAATGCACTTGTTCCTAGTAGCGATAAACTTGCTACTGTCCCTGAGTTGAATGACCGTCCCCTCATCCTTTCCAATTCTTTGTCGTACTCCGCTTGCACAAGGTGCGCTTTGCGTACGACTCCCACTGCTTTGAGGATGCCGCAGCTGAGATGTCGTAACGGGCAGAGGCTGAGATGTAGTGCATCGAGGAGTCCAACACGTCGTGCCGGTCTTGCGGACACGTTTGGCGTTTGATCGGTTCTCGTGGACATCATGAGTGTGCAGCTGGTATGGCAAGCCTCCTTGACATGCTCTCCGAGCAGCAGTCCATCTCCATGGCAGTGGTGAGCAGTCTCACAACACTTATAAGACAAAAAGGAGCGTTGGAACAGAAAGCAGGGCAGCATGTGTGATGGATTCTTTTGTGGCGTGTCTAGTTGCTTCACTCTGTGTGAGGTCACGATGATGCAGCTGCAGATTGCAGGGGCACGGAGGTCATGCTTAAAGTTTGCCTTCCAAGCAGTTCGATGCCCTGAGAATGAAAGGAGACCCGACGAAAGCATCGAGACTTGATCTCGGCAGCATTTCAGCGAACGAAGGCTGTGGATGGGCCCCGGTCATTCCCGAGTGTCCATGGCTGCAGGAAACCGCGGAATGGCACAAGGATAGATAGAACCTAGACTAGAGGACTTGTGCTCTGAGAAACTGAGAATACCAGCAGTGCCGACCAAGCTTGTCTTGCAGTTTTTCGTTCCCCTTTACACAAGCTTGCCAGGGTGACATTGTCATCATTGCCAGCGGCGGCATGCGTCATGGCCGGGATGCGCTTGATGCTGCTGCTTGGCCCCAAAAAACGCGTTTGCAAGATAGTAACAAGTGCATTACTACTAACTACTAGTAGCTAGAAGCTACTAGGTTGGAGGCCATCGCTATTAAGCTACTAGGTTGGAGGCCATCACTAGTAGGTTGGAGGCCACTACTACTAGTAGCTAGAAGCTACTAGGTTGGAGGCCATCGCTAGTAGGTTGGAGGCCATTTCTGCTCGTAGTAGCTAGAAGCTACTAGGTTGGAGGCCATCGCTAGCAGGTTGGAGGCCATTGCTAGTAGGTTGGAGTTGGAGGCCATCGCTAGTAGGTTGGAGTAGGTTGGAGGCCGCCGCTTGTAGTTTGGAGGCCACTACTGGTAGTAACTAGGCTGCCGCTCGTCGTTTCTTGCTGAATCAACCAGATGATGTGGTGAGTCATTTCTTGACCATTGCCTCCAAATACTTTCCAAGAGCTAATACGTCTAAGGGCCCTGCCACCTCACTTACTGTAAGACTTATTTGTCTAGGTTAGGTTGGGCGATTGGTCAGTTTGGCCAGTTGCAGGTCTCTGCATTCATTCGTTTTCCTTTGTTGCAATGCCCTTGGCATACTCTTGTTTGGTTTGCAGAGAAAGCTTGGCAAGATCGCCTTCTGTCTCTCCATTCTCATCGTGCCTCTCTGGCTAATTACCCAAACATTGATCAGCATTTAACTCGCAAAGTATTGGCGCGTTTCTCCCCAACAGATCGTCGCTTGCTTGTGCGTGAAATTGCGGGAGCTTTCCAGACTCGTGTCCAACAAGCAATCTGGGACTCCAAGGCCACTCCTGTATGCCGATGGTGTGGCAAAGAAGACACAAAAGCCCATAGGTACTTCTGCTGTACTGCCACTCAGTCAGTTCGTGCACCGATCAGCTCTTTGCTCGAGAGTTTAGCATCCTTTGACTGTTTATGGCCAGAATTGCCGGTCATGTTTGAGGACCATGCAGATGACTTTCGGCTTACCTTCCAATTCGCCTTGTAGGGAGACCTTCTGCACTACTTGACGACTTGGTGACATGTTTCGATGCCTCTGCGCCCCTGCATGTCTACACGGATGGGAGCTGCCAACATCCCACTTGGCCGACCCTTCGTTTCATTGATTCTTGTCGTAGTGACGCAGAACGCATATGGCATGCTCAGAAATACAAGGAGACTGGTCTTTGGCCAACCACCCTCCATGTCATTCTGCAGGAACTCTGTCCGCGCGAGCAGAATATTCACCATGCTGAACTTCGGGGTCTCGTCCGAGCGCACGAGCTTTTTCGCCATGCCATCATTCATGTGGACTCTTCTAGTGCCATTGCCACCTTTAAGAATGCGGTGCGCATTCGGGGTAAGCAATTGCACAGGTATGTTCAACCAGCTTTGCGTGCTCGCATCCAACGCTTGGATTCGTTAGAGGTGAACCAAATTGTTAAAATCAAGGGTCATGATAACTCTGCCTCCCTACCAGACCTGGATTGTTATCACAGCTTGGGCAACGCTGTCGCTGACCGTGCGGCAGTGGAGGTTTGTTGCCGCTTGCTGCCTGCGCTTACCGATAGTTGGGAAGCCAATGCCATCGCTCGTAAATTAGAGGTAGATCAATCGTACGAGTTTTACCAGCTTTCGTTGGCCTTGCAGAAGCACCGTAAACACTTTATATCCTTTTTGTACCTGCATCCATGAACCCGGAAGAATCTCATCCTCAGCTCCAAGCTGGGGTGACGGCAGCGTTCTTAGCTTCTTGGCATATACCGGAGCCTTGGTCCTTCTCTTTGGAGGACGCTCAAGAGAATGCATTTTTCTCTCATGGCTATTGGGGTACTAGTCTCTTGACATGTGTCTTGAAATGGCTTCATGAACTTCGCTGGGCGTCTGAAGCTGGTGCAGTCGCGCAGGCCACCATTGGCGTGTCATGGATGGAACTCGTTCTTAGCTTCATGATCTTTTCGCAAAGCTATATTCCTGTGCGCAGAAGAAATGCTAAAGGGGAGAGTTCTTTTGCTTGGGCCCACTCCAGTGCAGAGGCAAAAGCCTTTAGCTACACTTGGAATGAATGTGCAACCCAATTTGCCCATATCGTTCAGCAGACGATCTCGCTGAGTGGGTGTTCACCCATACCGGACTATGTCCATAGTGCCAGAGTGTGTTCACTCTATAGACAGGGTGCTGGCACCTGCGTGTTTGGATGGTCACATAGACCGAGCTTCCCCGTGCAAGCGGAAGTTTGTCGGATCATTGAGTCCACTTTTCGCAAGCGCGCAAGACCTTTGTCGTACAGCTGGTGGCCCGAGCTTGAGTGCACCTGCACAGCTTCTGATTGTTTGTACGAATGGACTGCTCCACGAGGCTCATTTAACGTCTTGCAGAAAAAACTGAAGTTGGGCAACCGTTTGGCCAAGTCAGTCCGTGCCAATGGTTGACCTGTGACTCTTCTTCATCCTGGTCCTCCTATTCTGAGCATTGCATGCCTTTCATTTGCTTGTTTCCGGTCTGACACTTCGCCCCCTCCCTGCCACCTGAGCTAGGGGGGGCCCCTCTCGCCAAGGAAAAGCCATCGCTAGTAGGTTGGAGGCCATTGCTACTAGTAGCTAAAGGCTAGTAGGTTGGAGGCAATCGCTAGTAGGCTGGAGGCCATTTCTACTAGTAGCTAGAAGCCATCGCTAGTAGGTTGGAGGCCTGTACTACTAGTAGCTAGAAGCTACTAGGTTGGAGGCCATCACTAGTAGGTTGGAGGTCATCGCTAGTAAGGTTGGAGGCCATTACTACTAGCAGCTAGAAGCTACTAGGTTGGAGGCCAGCGCTAGTAGGTTGGAGGCCATTACTACTAGTAGCTAGAAGCTACTAGGTTGGAGGCCATCGCTAGTAGGTTGGAGGCCATACTACTAGTAGCTAGAAACTACTAGGTTGGAGGCCATTGCTAGTAGGTTGGAGGCCACTACTACTAGTAGCTAGAAGCTACTAGTAACAAGTGCTAGCTATTGTTATGAGTAGTGTTCCGAGTCTTGGCTTTGAGGTTGAAGCTGGTGCAACGGTGCCTGACCGCACTTAGTCGGGCTTTCTTTACTTCTCGACATGTGCTTCTGTAAGCTGTTTTGTGTCTAGAGCTGCACCAGATCCTTCTACACCGTGCGCCTCATGGATCCTCTTGTGCCATAACTATAACCAGATGCGGGTATACGTTTCATGATTTGAATGACCCTGACAGGCAGTGCAAATCTCATCAATTCTCTTGACTGAAGGCGCTTTCACACAAGCAGTAGCAAAGACGCTCACCACTGGAATCAAACAACCGGCTTGCACTATTCTTCTGGCTGTGGCATATATAATCTCATTATGACAGACTATTGACTATTGCAAGTTCAAGATGCAGGACCCCGTGCATGTCGGCGGATCAAGGATGAGGTCGCCCAGCTTCTCATGCAGGAGGCCAGGGTGAAGTAGCGTAGGAAAAACATATCTCGATGTGTTCTTCCAGGGCCACGAGAATTTGCAGTCGTTGGTGGGGGTTGCGGTCCTCCGACAAACAGGCAAGGACGGTAGATAGAAGAAGCCAGAAAGGGCTACTTGTTGATCAGTGAGCCGAGTGTGTGGGTTCGACGTGCGCAGGCCGGATGAAGCCAAAGAAGAAAAGGCACTTTGATGGTAGAAAGAGAGAGAGAGAGAGATAGATAGATAGATAGATAGATAGGGGTCAAGCTGCGTACTGTGCCTGTTCTGGCGATGGCGGTGGCGTTTGTCGCGGCATCGGCCGTACGAATGATGTCTGCGCGTTGTCCTGCAATGTACTATGTTGCGTTTCTTGTTCAGCCATGCTGTTACTGAACTTTCGGCTTGCGCTGGCTCTCCGACTTTTGTAGACTGTGACTACGCCCGTGCAATCCCGCGCATAAGGACTGCTGCAGGCTTCCTTCGTTGCCCGTATATCCACAACCTTGTTGGCGTCGAAAGGATTCTGTTGCCAATCAGTGGTTGCCATCCATTGTATTGCTGTTCTCAACCTCTGCATCAACACCAAGCTGTGCACAGGTCCCTCGGCGGGCAGCTCAATCGCAACAACAGTAGGAAGGGGGTCTCTTCGCCCCACGTCAGTACGAAAAGACCTCAAGAGAGTCAACCAGACGTCTTCCAAGCACATGTCGCCAGACACATACAGGCAACGTTTGCATGCTATTGGTATCAGTGATGACCGTGGCAACAGCAACCGGAAGTTTAGCAGAATAGAGAACTATAGTTTCACCGTCGTTGCTTAGTGGTGATGTGTGGGAGCAAAGTGAGTCCCAGCTTGGTGACAGGAATCCATGGAAGCAGAAAGCATGAGAAGAGGCTCAACCACACTTGCCTTGATCCGTTTCATTTGACACGTCATTTGCAATGGCTGTTGCGAACGACTTGTTTTGTTCAGCTGTGGGCATAGCCATTGCTTGCGCTTCACAGGTTCCAGCAGCTGGTGTGAAGTGCGTCTTCGCACATCCAGCGAAGTGCGTCAAAAACAATGACCAGCCGCATCAGCTGTCGGTGCTGTGAATTCATTGCCATGACCAGAGGACGGGATTTGTCAATCAACGCCATAATTACTTGGAATCCACAAGACTTGGTTCACATATTTATTTGAACAATCAAGTGTGTACTCGGAGTCTCAGCTGCCGTGCAAGGCTCTTTGTCGTTGAGTAATGCCCTGTTCTTTTTTTGAGAAATTCAATCCGGACAAAAATTGTTGAGCACTGCGAATCTGATGTTGCAACGTGGACAAAAACTGCACAGACATCCGTTCTGTTTCTGGATCCTAGTTGTTCCAAAGAAATTCGAGTAATTACAGCCGGACAACCACTTGAATCTAGAGAGATGGAATTTTTGTAGTGTCTCACTCGCGTGTACTGGAGGTAGGTTAACGTCAGACGTCTCAAACTGCTTTGAGTAGATTAGGCACAGTTGGCCCAAACATCTCAGCCAGACAGACTGAGACACAAGTTGTCTCAGGACTTGTCAGTGACGTGCGGAAAGCCGTAAAGCTTTGCATGCACAATGTTGGACCACTCTTTTACCACCATTTTGATTCCTAGTTTTTGAAAGCCAGTGAAGCAGCACACTGTGGGAGAAGCAAAGCAGACCTGGCCAAGCGACTTGTGCAGTTCTACAGCTACGCCATCCGCTGCCTGAACGAGTACGTTTGCCTCCTAGATTCATAGGATGACCCATGGCAGGTCTTCGTCCGGACGTTCTAAGGATGTGAACCTTGAAGGAGTAGCTCTTTCTGTGGATACCTGTGCAGCAGGACAGAGCCAAGCATTTCATTCTGTCACACGACCATTCTATGCCACAGGACCTGAAGCGGTGGTCCCCTTGAGTGACGAGGTGGCCACCTACACAGCACCTTGACAGAATTGCATGCCTTTATAACCTGAATGAATGCCTAAGCTCAATATATATAATAGGCGACGGAGGAAAGATTGAAGCCAGGCAACAAGCTAGGACAAACCAACATTGAATAGGATATGCTAAATTCATAGCAACGAACACAAGACATTTGAGTCAGGACATTTAGCATATCTTCATGCATTTTCATTGCAATACTAGGGTGGAGGCCATCGCAATTAAGTTGGAGGCTGGAGGCCATCGCTATTAGGTTGGAGGCCCACGCTACTAGGGTGGAGGCCGTCGCTATTACTTTTCTTCATACATTTTCTTTGCAATTCCAGGTCAGGACGCTCCGGAGGCCTGGGGAGCACAGCACGCCTTGAATGGCACGCTTTGTGGTTGGGAATAGCACTCTGGTGTATCGTCATTGAGTTTTAAGGGCACTTGAACAACAATTGAATCCCCAACATTGAAGAACCACACAGCTCTATCCACATTGAAGAACCAAAAACCTCTATCCGAAGATTTTGTCATCAATCAGCGGTGATTTGCCAGACTTTTTAAGACAGACAGCAAAGAAAACACGAACAAACTCTCTCCATATCAAAAACCGCATCTTTGGGAAGGACACTTCCTCCAGCTTTGGGAGCCGTTCTGCTGCTGGGTGGCCAGGGACCTCCCCAAGAGGCTTTGAAAGGGTTGAGATTGAAGGCAAAGGCTTAAGAAGCTAAAATTTCAATTTGAAGGCAAAGGAAGCTGAGATTGATCAAGACTTAAGAACGAGTGCTAGTCGTACTGCCTGCGTTTCTGAAGAAATCATCTACCTACCCAGTCAGTGGTTAAACAGTTGGTCTTCCACTTTTGTTTGGGATTTGTTTCCCTACTAAGCAAGAACAGTTGGAGAAAGGTTAATCGGTTAGTCTTTGTTTTTCAACTTAAGAAGCAGAGAGGTCAGTTCAATCTCTCATGCGATCGATCATTATATATATTAATATTACATTACACTATATTATATCATATTATATTATATTATACTATATTATAGTGTATTATATTATATTATATTACATTATATTATATTATATTATATTGAATTATATTATATATACAGCACATCTAGACACTCTGGATCAGTAGTGTTTTGGTGTTGCAAGTGGTTGGAATATCATGGAAGATTCGAAAATGAGTCTATATCTTTCACCGCAAAGATGGCCAGGCAATTCGGAATGCCAAAGCGGCACGGTACCCAAGTGCCTCTGAGTTGTGAAGCGACACGCTGATCTGGTTTCAGTTGGGAGAGCGGAACCATGTATACTTTTCCCCAACAGCGAAGCAGGTGTCTTCAGCCAGTAAAGACTGTGGAGCAGATCGGAGCAGGTCGTTCCTGAGCAGTTCTGGAGCAAGTTCCGGAGCAGGTTCAGGAGCAAGTTGCGGAGTAAGTTTCCGAGTAGTTCCAGAGCAGCTTCCGGAGCACGTTCCTGAGCAGGTTCTGGAGCAGGCTCCGGATTTCCGGGCAAGTTCCGAGAGGTCGCGAAAACGAGGCTCTAGAGCAAGTTCTGGAGCAGGTTCCGCAGTTCGGGAACAGCTTCTCACAAGCTGCGCAGCGCTTTGCAGATATGATATGATGAGGTGCCGCTGTGACAGTCATGGCCTATTGCTGACACTGACACGTCATGCTGCTGACCTGTTGTCACGCTCACACTGGTGAGATGCCGTCAGGCCAGACCTCATGTGCTACTGTAGACTTTTGAGATGCTAAGGTGTTGCCTCGCACGGTAAGACACGCTGACATGACTCATATTGTTACATTGACATGCTGGCATGGTGTCACGCCGACAAGTTGTCAGGCTGTCATGCTGATATACTGTTATGCTGGCATGGGCGTCACGCTGACATGTGGAAATGCGGTCATCCTGTCTGGCTCACTTGCTGGTGGGCTCCAAACCCGAGATTGGAAAAGGTTCCTGGTTTTTGTTTGTTGGGGTGTTGTCATTGCATGTTGAAAAGGCTCACACTTTTGAAAGCAGCAGCGTCAAACAAACGCACGTACACACATACACAAACCACTTGCTAACAACGCCGCAAACCTCGCGAACTTATTGACGCATGCTACAGTTTGCCACTGCTTAATCAGCAGATTCATGGGGATCATTGTTACTTACTTCTCTCTCGCCGGCCGTCACGGTTCGTTATTGTTTTTTCTTGTTCTCGCTCTTTTTCTCCTTTATCGGTAAGTCACTGGGGTGTGCTGAGGTGCAGGATGAGGCGATTGACATGAACTGGGGGATTTCACCAGTGTGACCCAACAATTCTTGGGGTCGCTCCTACAACAATCTAGCTTCAACAGTTGGTCCTGATATTTTTTTTGCCGCTTACTAGCAGAATGAATGTCATCAAGTGACACGGTGTGTTTGTCCTTCTTGTCCGAGTTCCTGCAGCATAGATATACCAATATTTTTTGTAGTTGCAGGTACGGTCTTTCGCTTCTTAACCCCGTCATCGCTGCTTTCGCTTGCAACGAGGAAGGTGCAACACCGCTTTAGCTGCACTAGTACCGTGGTGTTAGAATTTTTCTTACATTTGGCTGATTGATCAGGTATCGGCCAGACTGTACTTGATTGACTTTTGCGATGTGCAACTGTCGGTTTAACGATCCACATCGATCCACCAAATGCACTCTGTGGGAACCAACGACTCCAGGCGAAGCGCGTGAACGTCTACAACGCACTGCTGGCATGCTTTTGAAGCCTCGTATTTCTGCTTAAGTGTCCTTCTTGCATAGTGGAGTGGACAGAGTTTGGAGACTTGGGCTTGGCATTGACACGGACCTCCATGGGCCTACTGGTATTACACAGGGACCTTCACATTTGGCCCGGGATCTCGTCCAAATTATATTTGGACACTTGCAGGTTTGCTTGGAGCTTGCAAATCAGCCCAGCTGTCCGAGCCAGTCGTTTTAGGCTCCTGAGGACACTGCCCCATGATCACTCTTCAGACAAGTCAGGGTACTATAGAGGTGGTCGGCAAGACGCATTGGTAGCTTCTTTGTTTTTGAATCACGGTGAAGCAGGACAAATACTGCAAGATGTATTCAACCGCCTGCTGCTCCAGGAAAGCCATCTCCGAAAAAGCGCCAGACTTCCGTGCAATTTGCCGCATCCACTAGGACATCTACTTCTGAGTAGCACTTCAGCGTGAAGCCTCGGGTTAGAACATACGCTGGAAAATGTGCAGTTCTTGGTAGAGTGTGAAGGAATGATAGCAGTGGAAGAGTCTGGGCTTGAGCTTCATCACCTTTGCCGGAAGCACTTTGCTAGCCTGACACGAATTAATGTCCACAAGCACGTAGACATAGACTCTTTCACTTGCGGCGGCTTGGATATTCTTCCACCATGTTTGTATTGGCTTAAGCACTCCCAATGCCATGCTCTCGGAACCGCTTGCAGTGTCAGCGCCTGCAGTGCCAAAGGCATGGTCAGAATCTGGCGACTTCCGTGGGACACCAAAGGCACGGGAATCCCGCAGCCCTGTGGAGTTTGAGAGCGTGTCCAATGGCTATCTTTCTGAAAAATACGAAGCTTTACAAAGGCAGCTCGCCTCAACACAACGAACCTGTGCAGAGCAACTACAGCGCCAGGAACGTTTGCAGCTGGAGCTGAGAGATACACAGGCTCAGGATGCCCTGGTTTCAGAACTTGTGGCTCGTCAGGCATCTCTGGTGAGCCTCCGAGAAGTTGCTTTGTCTGCCAGGCAGGAGGCCATGTGCCAGGCAGGGCGGCTCCGCGATGAACAGCTGGCTGGCGCGCGCGCGGAGCAACGTTGTGCACAGCTGGCTGAGGAATGCAGGCAGGGCGCGGTCCGTTATGACCAGGCGGTGCAGCAATTGGCCGAACAGGACAGGGAAATCGCGAGGCATCGCTTTGAAGCCATGAGCAATTCACGGCGACTACGGCAGACCAACGCTGATGTCCATGTAGTGAAAGAGGACTTACGAATCGAAAGTCAGCGTCAGCTCTTGGCGCAGAATGAGCTGCAAGAATTAGAGCAGTCCTTACAGCTCGCCCGTCATCATCTTCGGCTCGCTGAAGAAGATGCAGACCGCGCACGGAAGGCTGTGACCGACAAAAAGAAAGAGCTCATTGAGGCAGATGGGGAAGTTCAAAGCCTGGGGGAAGCTGTGAAAGAGGTGCAGCAGGAGAAGCAACGTTCCTTGCAAGGCATCGCCTTAGCCGAGGACCAAACGCAGAAATTGGAAAGCCAGTTTCGGGTGGTGCAGCAGGACCTGGGAAGAACCAAAGAGGAGAATGAACGCCGCGTGTCCGACAGCAAGGCCCAAACACTTTGGCGAGATTCTCTGCACGTTGATCTCTACAAAGTGGAAAACAAGTGCGAAGCCATCACTGCCGAGGTGCAGGCTTGTCGCCAGAGCATTGCCGAGCTCGAGGCTGCTGTTGCAGAATGCAAAGTTCATTCAGTTCAAGCTTTCAGAGAAAAGGACACTTTGACACAGAAGGTTCAAGAGCTGAAAGCGGAGCAGCAACAGCTAGATGGTCTTTGCTTGGCTCTCCGTCGTGCTTCTCATGCTGAGGAGCTTGCTATGGAGGATCTTCAAGCAGAGCTTCAGATGGCTTTCGTGCGCAAGGAGTCCCTAATGGAGGAGATCGCAGCGAATACTCAAGCATGTTCAGCTATCGGCAAGCAATTGGACCAGCTGAGGCCTGATATTGCGGAGGCAGATGAGCGAAGCGGCTCCTTGGAGATGCGTCTTGTCCAGAAGTCCAAAGATTTGGAAGGCGAGCTGCAGCGTGAGCGTGCCTTGCGACAGAACTTCACCTCAGGACTTGTCAACTCAACTGCTGCGCTGGCCTCGCCGGCGCCGAAGTCGCCTTCTCAGGCGCCGAAGTCGCCTTCGCCTTTGCCCGCATCGCAATGTCTGGCCCCCCCGCTGACTTCACCCGGCACAATGCCCTTGCGAAGGCTACACTGAGACGCAAGCGATCAAGCGATGCTAATGTACGAGATTGTACCAGTCAAAAAGGTCGGTGTTCGATCCTTGTCACCTGAGTCAGCCTGAGTGACTTTGTCGGACGGTGATACTTTGGGTGAGGACAATGTCAGCTCGTTCTTGACCTTTGCCCCCGGCTCGAGACTCTGCTTGCTTGCAGATCTAGAATCTAGACAAATTCCAGCTTCCACACGAAGTCAGGAAATCATTTTCTCACAATTGCTTTTGCCTCTTGTTGACCAGAGATATCAGTGTCTTAGAGTAAGTGGAAGACAGTTTGATCAGGTCTTTCTTCATTCACATGGAATGATTTAGATACTTAATAGCTCATTTAGCTCATGACAGCTCACTTGCTTTTCGGCATTTTCCCTTTTGCCGCAACCTTTGAGATCATGAGCATACAATGAGCAAATGGCAATGGAAAGACTACCGGCGTCAAGACAGCTGGTCAGTGAAGCAAAGTTGGAAGAGTCGGGACTACAGTGACTACAACAAGCAGTGGCGCAGAGGCTTGGCTTGAGCCAACGTTTTGCACGGTGGGCAGACTCCTGCAAGGGCAGGACTCATTTTCCAGCGCTGCTGAGGTCGAGAGCCTGTTTAAAAGTATCAAATGCCCTACCGCCCTACCGCGGAACATAACATGTAGACTGTAGGCTATCCAAGCTGAACATGTTGTAGAAGGGAGAACAGAATAGATTTATTGTGATGGATGTGGTATTTCCGACTATGGTGATCGAGAATGTTACCAGCATGATGATTCTTGTATTCATTTGATCCATTGTGCTAGATGCGGGCTCCTGACAATGATACTGTAACGGAATTTATGGGTGGTTTCCATGTTTTTTTCCTTCAGCAAAGCAAGCCACAAGTGAGGAAGCCACAGTTGGAGCGACTCTTCATGGCAAGACGGCGACAGCGAGGCGGACAAGTTGTCAATGTGGGTCTCGCAGTAGGGCCTTCGGCAAGAAAGATATGAAAGACTTTGTCCATCGCCCAGTGCGCAATTTCCCAGGTGCAAGACTCTGTCCATCGCCCCGTGCGAAGTGCTGACGATCTGGGCCAAGAATACGTGATCCATGGCACCTTCTTGCCTGCCTGGCTGAAGATTCGCACTGAAGGACAACTCCATCACAAACACAGAAAGTGACACAGACATGTCTGGCACCACTCTCAAATAAGCATCTTGTTAAGATATGTTAAGATCCAATTGATTCTTTATGATTGTTGCTGTAATCCTGTATGTGTTTGACTAACTTCTTCACTCTCCACGTATCCACAGGCAAGGAAAGGTCCGACCCTGCCGCAGGACTGAAGACGATGGACGGCGAGTATATCCACATGTGCCTTGGGTTGCCAGGAAAAGGAGCGATGAGCGAAATTCGAAAGGATTGTGATGTCGCCGTGTTCATCGACATCATCCGCGCCATCCAAGCGGGCATCAAGTTCTGGCAGTCCAGCAATGGAGTGATCCTAACCAACGGCGACGGGACTGAATTGCTGTTTTTGTGTTGCCTTCCACAATGTGCTTTCATGCATTTGTGGAATGGATTGGGCAGAGACAACGGGAAGTGGCACGATGTTTTGAAGTAGCGAAGCCGAATTTGTCCTGGTCCGAGGTGAAGGCAACTCTCAGACAGTGCGCCCCGAGTTCTTCTTGAGGGTGCTGTGGTTGGGACCTGGTGGCCAGCAGCTTGTGATTTTCGACAAATATGGGGATCAGATGCTTGGTTAAAGTTGGGTAAGGATGTTCAAATCCAGGCTGACGTTGAAACAACCACGTTCGCACAAGGAAACCTTGAGTCAGCAGAATCCACACCTTTTTTGCGAGATATCGACGCGAGGAAGAATTGGGGCCACAAAGCATGTTACTGTGGCAAACAAAAACAGTGAGCGCATGTTTGCGCAACTTGGGATGAGTGATCTCAACAGCTCAGGTCAACTCAAGATGCCATGTCCTGTTTGTTTTCTTGTTGGTTGTTTGTTGGTATGGTGTCTTGAGGCATTTATGATATGATATGCCTATGGTATGTATGTTAAACAATAAATACATTTTGTTGAATAGCCTTTTGTTCTCAATGACTGTCAGAGTCGGGAAACAGAGCATCGAACTGAACTCCAGAGTCAAGCATCGTGTCCTGCAGACCAAAGTTCTGATGCATGATTTGTGTAAAACAAATTGATTGAATGCAACGATGTAATCGGATTGAATGCAACGATTCACGACTGTGCAATGATGTGCTGCTGATCAGACGCATGGTCCATGTCAGGACAGATACCAACCGAAAAGATGACAAGGACTTCAATGCAGCCCTACAAAAGGCAGAGTGGGCAGAGCATGGAGCAACTCAGAATGGAGCAACTCGGAAGGGCAGGCCAGGTGAATTGAACGGTCATGGAATTGAGTTGACATGACACTTGCACTGCTCATGGTTTGATTATATATTTTAGGCCCTACAGCGTTCTTTTGTTCTCCAGGCCTGACACTGGAGGCATGCGGCCCTCTGAGCCCGAAGCGCCACCCAAGCAATGCAGACCAAACCCTCCAACCCCACCACAGCCACCTTCCGCATCCCGGGACCATGATGCACGATGGTGGACAGAAGCATCAATGGTATCCGAGGACGTGCAGGGAAAGACATGTCTCAGGGGGTGAGAAGGCGACAAGGATAGGAAGCGATGGCCTCCAACCTGAGAAGGGGCAATGTGCATTTTGCATATACTAAAGAGATGCCGCAGCAGGACGTGCACTATCGTTCATCTATGCGAGATGAGCAGGCAAGTGGCGTTCCTTGGGCTCAATTCACGCAAGCCTTCCATCGTTTCCTGCCCACATATGCCCACCAAGTCAGCGGTTTTGTAGCTTGCTCTGGGCTAGCACCTGGTCACTGCCCCAAATGTTTTCAAGTCTTTGACGCTAAGGCTCGGGTGAGGCTTTCAGGCACATGCAAGTGGAAACTTTTCATAGGTAATTGCGAGTTGGAGTTGATGGTTTTCAAAGTCTTCAACGCAGCAAATAGTTGCAAGGGAGGAGACTTGACTAGAAACCATCCACGTTTTGGGAATGGACTTTCTAGTACATTGAAAGGCGGCCGAACTTTCTGGTCTTGTTTTTGGTCAGCCGCATTGGTGTTGGCGGCTGTCCAAAAAAATGCGGGACTCGTATGTAACTTGCACTTGGACACTTGGCGTGGACTGCGTGGCGGTGTGTTTGCACAAAGTTTTGCAAAGTTTTCGAGAGGCCGCGGACACTCAACTCTGCTAGTTGTCATTTGAAGTTGCGATTTGGCGCGCGGCAACTATATGCGGTGATGGTTGCAACGAATGGTTGAGGGAGTTCTACAACATGGACGCCCTTCTCTAAACGTTAGGGTGAAATGGGCAAAGAAAGAGTGCTGTTCTTCGTTGCGTTCCCCCGTGAAGACGTTTCCGAGGGCTCCGGATATGGCAATCGGAAGGGATGGCAGAAGGACAGCACCTTCAAGTTGAAAAAGAGTCATTGATTGCCAACACACACACAAAAACATTTCAATTTGATGTATGTATGACTGTATGACTGCCCGCTTCGACCGGGATTTGTGCTTGTGGTCGTTGCGAGGATTGGAGTTGGGAAGACAAACATCTCTCACATCGCCCGAACTCTCAGCCTAGCACGGAAGGGTCTACTTCAGCTCCGCTTGCTTCGCTTGCTTTGGGACAGGCGCGGGGTACTGTGATGTGGGAATGTGCCATATTTGGGTGTTCGGCACATGCCAAGAGCCTTCGCCGCCTTGGCTGCCGCCGCGGAGGATCCAAAGCGGGTGAACGCGGAAGAGAGGGACAGATCCGTGGAGCAAGGCCAGGCTTTGCAGTGGAAGGCCCAGGATGAGCTCAATCAGGCAGGGAATTCCCGGTTGGAGGTAGGACACGCTGGGAATTGTCCGAATTCCAGGTGAGACCTCGGGGCCAAATGCCGGAGAAATGGACCAATCGAAAACCATTGTGGTCTAACTCTTTCTGAAGCATTGTCTCAGGACTTCAGGCAATAATATGTCCAGGAGACCGGACTCATCTCGTAAACCTAGGTCTTTACATGTCTTTTTTAGTGACTAGTGGCATCCAACTGCCGCCAGAGTATCCAGGCTTGGCCACATCGAAACTCCAACTCCTATGTGGAGGCAGGTCATGAAACCTTGGGGTACCTCTGTGCCTGACGCGATCTACTTTAGTCTCCCTGACTTTCAGACTCTTTTCGTTGACTGAAGATTGACTATGTCGCAGCTGTTGTCGGATTTATCACGATTCATGCAAGAAAGAGTCGATGTCTTGCTTGATTGCATCTTTGGTACTGAGATCAAACTCTCCCTCTGCATGCCTGGTTCTTTAACCAATTCGTCTTCACGTTCGATTTTCGATGTTTTGTTCACTTCGCAACATTTGCGCAGCTACGCATGCTACGCCACAGTTCACAAGTGCCACCAGCAGATGCACTGGGAGATGTCCTGGGACTCCCTGAGGCCATGCCAGCCCTTGGAGATGTACCTGACCACGCTGAGCATGGCAAGGCAGATCAATGGGGTCGATTTTGCTTACGATTTAGCTTGAAGTCACTTGACGTCTGAAGATCAATCAGAGTGCGGTTGGTGTGTTTGCCATGCTTTTGGGCCATATTAGGCTGTTGCTTCCACCAGATACAAGCATGATATTCGAGGGGTCATTAGCCGATTCAGAAACCAACCGATCAGGCAACTACGATTCAGAAACCAAAACAGCCGATTCAGAAACCAAAATGGCCAATTTAGCAACTACGATTCAGAAACCAAAACAGTCCAATTCAAAAGCCAAATGGTCCGATTCAGAAACCAAAACTGCCGATTCAGCAACCAAAACGGCCGATTCAGAAACCAAGCGAGTCCCGATTCAGAAACCAAAACAGCCATTCAGAAACCAAAACAGCCGATTCAGCAACTACGATTCAGAAACCAAAAGAGCCGATTCAACAACCAAAAGAGCCGATTCAGAAACCAAAACAGCCGATTCAGAAACCAAAACGGCCGATTCAGAAACCAAAACAGTCGATTCAGAAACCAAGTTAGACTGTTCAGAAACTAAGCCAGACGATGGACGGCAGGAGGAGTGGGGGGGGGGGGTGGGAGGGGGGGGGGTGACACGACGTGCAATGCAGTGGATTTCCATTGGAAAGAACACGGTCTCGAGAGAGGTCAACCGACAATGAAATGTGTCAGTCATGTACATACATATGAGGTGAGACCATACAGAGGTTAGTTCACAGAAAAACGAAACACAGGGGGTGGGGGGGCGGGGAGGAATCATGGCCAAGATAATGACGATTAATAACGTTTCTCCTGTTGCTTCGCGGAGAGATTTTGCATCGGTGGCACTACCACCACCACCTACTACTACTACTACTACTACTAATCCCCGGTTGGTAGTCATAATAGAATGGGGGGAGGCTGGCCCCCTGGAATAGTGGCCACCACTATTTTGACGACCAACCTGGGCTGCTGCAAATGGAGGTACAGGGGTTGGCATCCTCCAATGGAAAATAGTTTATTTTCAAAAGCATGGGATGGGTGCCATCAATTTTATTGGATCAGATTGGGGTTGATTTTGAGGTTGGCCCTACAATTTTTCTTTTTGCACGTGGGTTGGATGCTGCTCATTTTATTTCACTGCTAGAGATCTAAGTATATTCTTATTTTTCTCTTTTGCTGTGGAGCCTTTTGGATATTGCATCCTTAGCAAATTGTATTCATCTAGTGTGCTCCCATATTGTTTTATGTCACCCCAAGTGTGCTTTTGGTAGTGTGCCTTTTGTTTGTCTTGCTAGGTGTGTGCTACTGTGGTGTTAGCTAAGGGTGGAGAAAGGAAGACGAAATCAAAGGCATTGCAGCCTCAATAGTTTAAATCTGATTCTGGGGTTGGCTCCCATCAGTTTTATTTCACCCAAAGCGGGCTTTTGGTAGTGTGCTTTTTGTTTTGTCTTGCTAGGTGTGTGCTACTGTGGTGTTAGCTAAGGGTGGAGAAATGAAGATGACATCAATGGCATTGCAGCCTCAATAGTTTAAATCTATCCCCGTTGAAATTTCCTCTACAGATAGGGGTAGCTCGAGGCCCTTACAAAGGGGTCATTTTGTAACAAAGCACTTTTTGGCAGATGCCGAAACTTACACCCTCCCATTTTGTAGAGTCAAAATCGGCATCCAAGTTATGATCAAAAAAAATTAGAGAACATTTATATGAGACATGAGGACGTCAGGGTACCCTTTTTGTACAGGGCCAAAATCAAGGAAAAACAGGGGGTCAGGGTACCCTTTTTGTACACGTTTGAGTGTTCGTTTCTTGGAGTCAGATTCTTTAGTCGCCTGAGTCAGATACAAAAACATACTCCGAGGTGAAAATTGATGGTTTGTATTTTTTTGTTGCTTCGTCTTCGAACTCCAGGGGGCAACGCACTGTTGCGCCATCTACAAGTCCAAAAACACTGAAAACCTGCAACATTTTTGTTGCCAAAAATCTTGCCCTTTTTTCTGCGCATGGAGGCTTTATGTCAGAACCACAGATGGCGCAATGCCAATCAATGCATACAGTAGGTTTCAATTCTGCAAATCTCACCACTGATCCTTCAATGTCCAGATTCCTGAGCAGTCTTTGTGTTTGTTTGCCGCGTTCATTTTTTAGGATGGGAAAAAGAGCTTTGGGATGCGCCATCTATAGAATCTACAAAAAACGCTTGGTTTGGTCAAGGTGCAGCCTTAGTTTTCGTGATGTTTAATGTTCAGTATGTGGTGTTGAGCCATCTATGGCTATGCCGGTTACCCCCTGAGTTGCGCCAACAACTTTTTCAGCGGCGTACCCGGTGTACATAAAACAAATCCACTCTGCATCCAATGGACTCGTCCCAGTACACGTGGTGCCAACTCTTCCTTCCGCTGACCAAAGGGCATTGAGAAACTCAGCCACGATTCATAAAATGAGGATGGACCAAAGATTTGTTTACGCAATGACTGTCACCAATGTTTGTCTTTACAAAGTGGGCATGAACAGAGAATCATATTGGCATGTCACACAAAGTCGGCATGAACAAAGAATCATCTTGGCATTTGAATGCATTTCACACCATTTCACAGGACAGCAAAGGTCAAGTTTAGAATGGATAATGTGAATTAGTCTCCAAATACCTGAGGTTCACATTTTGTAGAGATAGTTCAGGGTCATCCCCATTTTGTACTGTAAGCAAGATTTTTAGATGTAAGCACTGTTTAATATACTTTCCGTTAGCACCGCAAGTTCATTAAACAAAAACAAAAAATCATATAGTTTCTGACATCGTCTATTAGAGTCCGATGTTCAACATATGCCATTGCGCAGTACAATCGCCGCTCAAGTTTGGATTAAAAAAAGAACAGTCAGATGCGTGCGCGCACAGTTTCTCTACAGAATGGTTCCGGAATGGTCAACAAATGGAGTCTTAAATCATGTCCTCGACCAGGTATTTGATACCATTTTGTAGAGAACTCACTTTGCTAAATGGCTGTTTTATGCACTTTTCAGCACAAGATAGTGATCTTCAGGCATAACCTTTTTGTATAAGCCCACTCTGGCCCATGTCATTTGTACAAACCCAATGCCCTTGGGTCAGGGCTTTTTGTAGACTGCAACCCTGGAGCCCTTACAAAACTGCGGTTGTCAACCCCTCCCCCTTTATTTCAAGAGAGCGGATTGCGCTGGGGGGTGGGTTTTTAATTCATAGGTTTTTTAATGATTTCTAGCTTATTGTTTGTTAATGTACAGATGTGAGGCATTTCCAGATGATTGGAAGCAGATGATGCAGTTGCAAGATGTGTTTCTACTTTCTTTTGTCAGAGCCAGCATGACAGTAAAGAAGATGATTTTTGGAAGAATGCATAAGGATACTACCACAGTCAAATCATCTGCTGCAGACAATGCAAGCAAGGAGTTGGCGCTAAGACATCTCATTTTTCCGCGCTAGTTCTGTTCCAAAATCTAGTTCTAGCAAGCATATGCTTTGCTTACCTTAGACACAGCTTTCTTGAACTTGTTCAAGTAGCTGGCCTTGTTTTCAGCCACAGCTTGGTTGTGCAATTTGGAAAAGTACAGCACCTTAAAAGTGTGGCGAATTGCACGTGCCTCATTCAAAATCCGTGCATAATTGCGAAACCAAGAGAAAACTTGTTCGCAAGCCGACGTATTTGTCTTCGCAAATCGCCGAGACAAACGCTTGACGTAGAGTGGATTGTACACGCAAGTCTTCTTGTGCCTGTGGGCGTGGAACTTGTCAAGGCTCCAATATTTGATTTGGGAGAGGGACTTCTTACTTGCATGAGTCGGTGCGAAACCACAGACACGGTCCATGATGAATCCATTGACTTTCTGGTACAGAGGCAAGACTTTCTCCAACGACTTCTGGACCACTGGGTTGTTCTCCGGCTTGTCCATGGCAACCACACAAAGAATTCGTTGATCCTGCGGGTTGACTAGCATGAACCATCCATGCCCAAAGGGTTTCAAAGAACCGTCTTTCCGAGGTCGTCCTGCATGTGTGGTAGTTTCGCCACATTTGATGTGGACCTTCGAGTGACCATCTCCGACAAGTTCAGTCACTGATGCCCTCTTTTTGGGTGGGAAAGCAACCTTGTGCACATAGTCATCATACTTGCGGAGCGCAGCCTCTGAGATTTCATCTCCAATGACAATGTCTTTCTCGCACCCAATCAATGAGAGCTCCTGCAAAGCCAGCCAGTACATGACACAGTCTGCGTGCATTGCACGGAAGCGAACTTCACTGTGCTCATGGTCAAAAACTGATTTGTAAGCAGCCTCTATGGCTCGAGCGGCCAAGAAGCCTCGAAATTCCAAGGCTGAATGATATTTCAAATAATCCAAGGAGAAGCCAAGCTTGTTGTTCACAAACAGAACATCCGGGACATTCTCCAAAGTGGCTGTGTTGATCTTCTTTCCATCATCCAGCAGGAAGTTAGGTCCAAAAGTTGTGCGGCGCCCATAGGCATTGCAACGCATGGTGCGTACAGTCGTTTCACATGGACCTGCCAAGGTGTACACCACAGCTGCCACATCATGCCCTTTGGAAAAGGAACGGTGTCCACAAGGGCATTTGGTGAGTTGGGTCGAATACACTTTCCGAGCTAAGGCTCCTCCAGAAATGGAATACGGCACCTGAAGCAAAGTTGA